ATATGCCCAGGCACATTGATCTCTCCCCTACATCCCTCCTCTCTCTCAGCACTGCATGTGGGGCATGCATCTGTGTGTGTTTATTCCCCAACTGCCTTCTCCCAATTACATGATTTCTGAGTAATTGTGCTGTTGCAATCATTTGAAGTCAATCTGGTTTTGACCGTCATCCAAATGCCCAAATTATGGTTGGTTGTTAGGTCAATTGGGTCCATATGTGGGTTACATTTAATGGGGGCATATGCTTAAAGGTAGTTTGTCTACGTGTGTGTGAGACGGAGACATTCATCTATAAACTGCAGCGATAACTGAGTGGATCGGACATTTATGGGCTCAAGTTTCGTCACACAGAATACTGGGGTGGTCCTCTGGGGTTCAGTTTGCGTGTGTTGGTTCTGTATACTTGTGTGGATGAGGTTTTCTTTTTAAATGTCACTTAAGAGTCCACATCGGGCCGCATGCAAAGACACTTTTGACAGACTTGGAGAAATTATCTTTCACACAGTTTATACCCCACCGCCCTTCCTTTGGGACATTAAACAGTGATGAACACGTTTAAAGCTGCTTCAAGAATATATTAACGCATACTTTCACTCAGTCCCTCCAACTCTCTGCTCTTTTGTGCTTTTCCTTCTACTAATCGCTCTCCTATTCCTCCCCCCCATCACTTTCTGTGGCTCCTACAACGATTCAAAGCAGTCTAGTCACATTAAGTCAGGCTTGCAACAGTGGAGGGAAAAACAGGCAACAAATCAAGTAATGAAATCAACTCCAACAATTAAATATTTCTCCTGTATGTTCTCCCTTGTTCACGCTCCCTCTCTTGGCTAATTTAGAGAGCTTAATTGGCGCTGTAATACGTTGGAGGCAGGCAAACACCAGCAACATAGAAATAAAATGTAATTAGTTTTACAGTTGACTTTTCTCCCTGTTCCTCACACACGTGTGCTTATCTATTGAAGCTGGGACTGTTTGAAGTACTGCGTTATTAAAATTTTGAGTTTTTTGTGACATTACAACTTGTTTACTGATGTGACGGTAGCGCGTATGCTTTGTATCCTTAACTGTTTAACACTGAGCTCTTACTCGAGACGCTTTCTTCAAAAAAGCAGGAGCTTTTGTTTTTTTTCTTCAAGTGATTAAATTGCAGAACAGAGCGGCAGCATGATTGTGGTCTTGACTCGCTTGCTTTCATATACTGTGTGTGAGTTTGTGAAAACGAAGCCTTTGTTAATTCAGCGTTTTTACTGACACACGTTCTCCTTTTTTCTCTCCATCTCTAGACCAACATCCCGTTCCTCCAGAACGTTCTGTCCAACCACCAGTTCCTGCACTCCACAGTGGACACCCAGTTCATTGACGAGAACCAGGAGCTCTTCAACCTCAAACCCACTCAGAACAGAGCCCAGAAACTCCTGCACTACCTTGGTCAGTGCAGAAACGATACATTGTAACACTTAAAGGTGGAAAACAAATCAATTTACATGATTCATACTGACTGAGCACTGTCACTATTGATTGTTGGGTTTAGGTTTATTGCCCATCAAAACTGTAGCACTTTTCCACAAAGCTAAGCTTATCTAAGACGAGGCTATTAAGAAAGATTAATAGCTTGGCAACCAACTATATCGAGCAGAGCTGCTTGTTTCTGTTGCTACTAAGAGTTGGGAAAATGATAACATTTCAGGTGCTAAAGACCTTTAGATTAGGTGCTACTCTACGAAGGAGGTCCAACTTACTGATAAGACCAGTAAAGTTAAATATTCTTATCTCAGGCTTTCACCAAACCTTGAGTTTAAAAAGACAAAGCTCAATTCTGTGCAAAAGGGAGATAACCTGGATGTCTAATGTGCAGAAAACCTCTCGCAGACAAATGTAGCAGGACACATGTGACACAAGTCCTATAATCCATACTGGCCTTCAGGCTTGTAATAACCTTCATTGACTTTTTTCCACCCCTTTTAATTTGGACCCTCTTGTTTTTCAGGTTTGCTGGATGTCTTCTAGGGTCCATCTGATTTGTATTCTCTATTTTTATGCTCGTATCCAGGTCATGTGATGGTGAATGGACCAACAACACCCATCCCAGTCAAAGCTAAGCCCTCCTCCACAGACCCCGTCGTTCCTCCCGTCACCATGGGTATGTCAGTCAAAAGCAGTTTCACCAGTCATTGCACACAGTTTTCCCTCACAAATTATTCAGTAAACTCCGATGGCAGCTCGCCCTCCCAGTCAAAAATCAATAACACATCGTCCCAAACCGTAAAAGCATTTGGCTTAACGAAGGTTGGGCCTGAGCTTCAGTCAACAACATGTTATAAGGAAAAAAAAAAAAGTTAAAATAAAAGACACGTTGTGACCCACAAGACGAGTGTCCAGGACTGTTATCATAAAAATATCAAAATGCATCATCCCACATTGAATTTATTACATTTGGACTCATTTAGCAAGGTACTGCCACAGCAAGTGTCACAGGTTCCTCTTTCTCCTGGGGCAGCGTTGCTAAAAATGTAAACACTTGTGTATCCATAGGGCACTTTGGATAAAAGCACCCGCCGAATGACGAATGGTCTGTCGAACGCTCTGATAGCTGTAGGCAGAAAGGCCTTCCTAAATGGCTCCGTTTAGCACTTGGGGAGGTAAAGGGTTTTAGCCCAGAGTGCTCTGCTGAGCTGTGAGTACAGTCGGTGAGAGGTGCAGCTCATTGTTTCTGAAAGCAGAAGTTCTCCGCTTCTCACCCCGCTGTGTGCACGACTCCCTTGTTAGTCTTAAAGGAAAGGCCAAGGGCCAAGCTGGGCTCTTTGATGAGCTGCTTTGGGTCTCTGGAGTGAAGCCACCCCCTTCCCCCCTCAAGGCTAACTACAGTGTTAAAGTACATTTTGTGAAGAACAACAAGGCTGTTTAAATATGTATTTTTAAAGTTACGTGTTCTTAGTTTTACTCCTAAATATGTCTTAAAGTTATTGAAACAAAGGACTTATGCGAATTAATCTCGTCTCCGGGGTCATTTTGCAGTGGTTTGCTTTTTCTCCTTTCTCACTTCTCTGTCAGGTGTAAATGTATTCCATGCACAAACCGCATGAATTTATGCAGCTGTTCCCTTTTGACAGCAACGAAATAGTCAGCCGTAATAATCTGACATGTTTATCAACACCCCGTTCTGCCTCAGCACATACCACAGCATGCCTAGTAAACATGAATTTATAGCAAAATAATGTGAATATTACGAATCATAATGAGGCATAACTAATCAAATCTGACATCTAAAACCCGTGCACAGTGGAACGGAATGGAGCAGAATAGGAGCGAATGATCTGCGGCGTTTGTGCACGTCTGAGTGTGCATTTCCCCATGCATGCCCTCCACTGTTTTCATTTAGGCAAATTTTCTGTTGAAGGCCATCATTGCCTGTCTCTTGTTGCAGGAGAGCAAACACACATGCACATGTGCATTAAATCACACAAACCTGACATATGCTGCACCAAATGCTGCAGACAGAGTCCCTTTGTGTACACACACTGCACATACCTACTGTAAGCAGCTGATGAGATAGGTGCATGCAGCACAGGGACGCACAGAGGCATACCTAAAGCCTAGTAATGAGATTTGTAATGTGCTTATATCCTTTCTTTCATTCAACAGAGGGATTGAGAGAAGAGAGGGATTAGGCCTGTATTATCACACTCTGTGGAGAGAGGGATGGAGGGAGGGACAGGGCTATGGAAGGAGAAAGGGGTTATGAAAGGAGGACAGAAGGCTCGGGCAGCATATAATTCCTGTATATGGAGAAAATGGTCAAACGGGTGTGGTGACAGGTGAGACGCAGATAAATTGATCAAGATATTGGCGAGAAGCGACAATGGGGAAGATATATAAAGGATTATTGCTATGTAACACTCTCTGATAAGAGAAAAGCAAAGGTCAGTCACATTGGGATATCTCAATTTCACTTTTAAAGATAAGCAGTAAGCAATTTAGGTCCCACCACACTGAGGAAAGATGGGATGAAAAGTATTCCTGAAAGACATGGCGAGGGTGTTCTGACAGAGCCTGTTAAGTACTCAGAGGCCATTATTTTCTAATTAGGATTTGTAGTCTGAAACGTTCCTTCTGAAGGCTGATTGCTGGTGGTTCATCCATGTTGCAGAAGTACACCTTGTTCCAATTATTATCTGGATTTATTTAATGGAGGACATCTAGAGGTTAATGACCAGATGCCTGTGAGCCCACTCTAGGAAGGATGACTAATAAAAATGACAGACTATTTTCAAACTCCCCATCGTGCACTGTATTTCCATTTTTGGAATAAAGTGTAGAAGTAGTTTGTTGTACAATAGTGTGTTATAGTATACAGGAAAAAACAGAAACATGGACTTAAATCCTTAAAATCCCCTTTTTGTTTTCCTCTGCTTGTTTTTTAACCCGTTTTTATTACCAATCTTCAAACAAAAATGGCTTTCGCTGCTTTTGCTTCTGTTTTAGAGCATTATAATTGGTCTTTGTGAAATTTGAAGATACCTTAGGTGTTGTGTGTATATAGCAAAGTAACTTTATTCACTGGCCATGCAGCTGGTTTTAGGGGGAAAAATGCTTTTCCTGAACTTCCAGTCAAGTTTTTAACCAGGCTGTGTGTTTATGAATTATTTATAGACAATAATTTGACAGTTACAGCATACCTGACTTTAGTAAAGCACTAATTAGTAGTCCCACCGGATCTGTCAATTAAAATGTTCCGAAACGCAAACAAACACACACAACAGATTTTTTTTGTAGAGAGATGTCAACTTGGAACAAAGGTATGGCATACTGGTTTTATTTTAATTAGGTAATAGCGATGCTCGGGGCACTGTAGCTCAGTCTTATCAGGTCATATTAGCTGCTGTTGTGGAGCAGGAGAAGAATATAAAGGGTACGAGGTATGAAATAACATCAGCCTGAGCAACGGAGAAGGCAAGAAAGCCGGGAACCAGGAGTGAGGTGTCTTCAGTGCAGATGACTGTGTGCAGATTGGTCAAAATCAAGCACAGCAACCTGGGAATTGTATCTCTCTAATAGTTTTTGCGTGCGTGCGTGCGTGCGTGTGTGTGTGTGTGTGTGTGTGTGTGTGTGTGTGTGTGTAAAATCTACTCCAGAGCCAAATGTTTTCTAGGAAACTGTGGCATGCTATAAGCTCTGCAGTCCCAGAGCACACGCCCTCATTTTCTCCCTGTTCTTTAGATGCGAGGACGTCACAGGTGGTTAAAAACAAAGTTTCTAAGATTTCATTTTTTGTGACAAATGCGACTTTGACAATGAATCATCCAGGCTCCCTTATTCATAGATCTTGATCAGTTCAAACGTCTGTTTTCTGCTTCAGCAGCATGACTTCACAGAGCTCGTCTACTCTGCTCGTCTCTGTGTGAGCTCATTTTGTGTTTCTACGTTAATGTGTTGCTGTGCGTGTGAACAAATGTATTTGTGCTGCTGTGTGTGCATGTGTGTTGCCCATTTTACTTGTGCAGGCCTTAGAGACAATTATAGCACAGATCATTTGTTTTCAGGGATGAGGTACAACAATAAAAGGTCAAGAGCAAGGATTCAACTACAGAGAGAGTGAGAGAAGCAAGGTTGGAGGACATCTAAGCTGGCAGAAAGTACCTCATTAACTAGTGTTTTTGATTGATGATTGTACACAGCACAGCAAAAATAGGTCCAAATTGTGCTTCCAGTATTTTAATACCTTGGGTTGCGCCTGTGTTTAATTGCAAAGCAAAGAGAAAAAGATTAGGATAGAAGGTTGGTTATAGCGGCGTAGAGCCAGGGCTATGTGATGTTTGTTTTGAGGACCACTAAGCTGTAATAAACTGGAAATGCCAGCATTTGTCTGGGGGATTCCACATCAATTTTTATCTCTCCTTGTGGATGATTTTAGCAGTTGTGTTATGTTTCAATGCTGTATGTGACATTATAGTCTTGTGAGCTAACCAGAAACACTTAAACACTGCCAGCATGTCCAGCAGTCTTCATCTCGGGTCCCTCTGGGATTAGACCGTGCAAGATTTAAAAAGCACTCTTAATGGATGTGATGCTGTTTTCCTGTTAAGAGTTCATCTGTTAGCTGGAATTTCTGTGTCCCGAAAGACTGAAATATCTCAGTTAATAGATGAGTCACCATCAAAGTCATTGGTGGTACCAAGAGAAGTATACAAACCAAAATTAACCTCAAACTCATTTATGAACACATACTAATTACAAACTGTTAGATGCTCACAAACAAGCCTCAGGCACTAAACATGGTACACGATATACTTGTTAAACATTTATAGCTATTTAGCAAGTATATTGTGGCAGGGAGACACGGTACAGCCTGTACAGGCTGCAAGTCAGGGCTAAATATTGACTGCGTTGTCAAATTTGCCTAAAAGACCTAAAATCAGGGGCACATTCCAGAAAACGAAGGACTGAGAAGGAGGAGACGTGACGGGCAAACTAGGAACCATCCTAGAAGTTAACTCTAAGCTGGCAACATGTTGTACGAAGCTCTGTCACTTCTGTTTTACTTAAGGTAGCATCTTAGTTTCTATATAAAACCATAGCCGTAGCAATCACTGTCAGCAAGAGCAAACCATTTTCACAAATTGGTGGGTGGTGTGTCTAATAAGCCAGCTGCTGAGCTTATATTCGTGAATTCTTTTATAGCTGATCTCCTGAGCTGTGGGTGATAGGCGCAGCATTGAGAGATGCCATTACCTCATTAGTAGACGTTATGACAACTGCCAGACCTGCTAATGGCACAACTTAAGAGAAAACTCCATGTTCATAGAGTACATGTGCAAACTGTTTACTTGTTAAACGGGTGTAAATCGGTTAACTTGCCACATACTGTCTGTTTTTTAAAGTCGATACACAAAGACTAAAAAGGGGTGCTTACACATTGTGTCTTTACCCTGTTTGAATCAAATGAAACCCTCTTTGCTCTGCACTGCTATAAGTGCAACCCTGTGATGTGTAAATAATTTTTTTACATTTTTCATTACATCAATCCATTTTCAGTTCATAGACATATTTGCACAACCTTGTGTGGTGGAATAAAAAAAATCTTCAAACATCTGATTAATATTCATCACATAGAGCTATATTATCATTAAAGCTTTTCCTTTTGCCTTCTCTTCAGTGTTGCTCTCCTCATTAACGTGCTCTTTCCCTTTCCCCACTATCAGGTGACCCTCCTGTAGGTTTCCGTGACGTGCTGTTGCGTGATGGTCCTGAAGGATTTGCCAAGGCTGTCCGTGCCCACAAAGGCCTCCTGCTGATGGACACCACATTCAGGGACGCTCACCAGTCTCTCCTGGCTACCAGGGTTCGGACCCATGACCTGAAGATGATCTCGCCATTTGTCAGCCACAACTTTAGCAACCTTTTTAGCTTGGAGAACTGGGGAGGTAAGCTTCCTGGTCGTCACGTTACGATAAACTCGTCCACTTTTGTTGCCCTTTTCGCCCCTAAAAATGTCCTTTGTATGACGCTGAATGAAGTTAAAAATAACTGAGCTGTAATGTTTGATCTCCCATAGGCAGTAGTGGTTTGCTGGCTATCTAGTTAATCAAATCCTTTCGACCTGCTATTTTATTGCATCTCGTCATCAGTGCCTCTCCTTTCTATTCTCCCCGCACTCCCGCTGTGATCGTCATTCATTGCGTCTCGTACTTTTTCTGGTTTGACCTGTGAAACTTGTGTCACTGAAAACAATCTAATTCTTCCACCTGTTCTTCCAAAACGGAGTCCCCAGCAAGTTCCCTCAATAGACAGTGATTGTACCTTTTGCCTACTCTTCAATGAATAGAGAAAATCACACGTTATTGAAACTTCTTGAAGCGTGAGCAGTCCAATAGTGTCCCTGTATAATATGCAATTACTCTGAAATTGAAGCAAAAATGCAAGCAGCATGTTTGAACAGCTGGCTACATGACCAATTATCAGCACTTCTTGATAACGGTCCTGTGTGAAGTGCAATTGTTACGAACTGGTTTCAAAGAGTACGTTCACCCGTTAGAACACTTAGGGCACACACATTCACAGGAAGGATATGCCCAGAGAAGCTCTCGAGGTTGAAACATTCAATTTAATGCTAAATTATATAGAAAACGACCGTGATTGAGGAGATCAGAAGAACAAAGAAGTAAACAACAAATGCCTTTCGCTATTTCAGGTCCTGTTTTAGTGGCCGGTTGGCTAAATGCTGGTTGAACAGAATGAGGTGGGGAAAAAAAGACATGAAAGAGTCTCTGGTGAAAACTCTTTGGAGTTATAAACCCTTTCTGAGATTAAATTCCTCTTGGAAACTGATCATGGTGCACCAGTTAAGGGAAAAGCAATATATTTCATTACTGTGGGAGAGCACTTTGAGCTGATCTCACATTAAGCAACTGTCTACTTACTTCATGTTTGGACAGATAAAAAGGCTATAGCAAAAGTCAATTACTGAGTAGATATTTCAATAAAAAGGGCTTAAATGCTTCCTGGCTTCCATCACCCGGAATATTGTGGTGTTATTATGAGACTGACCGAAGAAAGAGGATATAAATTCAGTTTGGCTGTGTTTGAGCGGCGCGTTAAACCAAATCTTTAAACAGACTCTGGAAGCTTGTAGCAAACTTGGTTTTTCACTATGAAGCAAATTGTTGGATAGGTGCCAGAGAAGCCTCCTGTCTGCATGTGTCTCATTACACGGTGAAGCTGCTCTTGTTAAGGCACGTAACAACCTTTTTTTATTTATTTATTTAATGTCATTTTTCTGTATTTGGCAACTCAAAGTACATCCACGTTTCCAGCAGAGGCCGTACAAAAATGCTTTTGAGCATCATTTGCAAACATAGCTTTGCTTCTGATGATCCCAACACTATAATGCAGTCGGTTTCTCACTGTGGTTGTGCACAGCCTCGTGGGGCAGTTGTCAAGCCTTTCAGAAGCTCTGGTAAATCCTTTTTTTTTTTTTTTTAGAAATGGCTTGGACACGTCTGCACAGAATGTTTCATGTTCCAGAAATGAGGACGATGTCAAACAGTCGAAAAGAGAAAAGACACAGCATGCTTTGAGGCCATTTTTATGGTCAAACATCGAAGAGAACATCCTTTTCTGAGCAGACAGTTATTGTGGGCTTTAAAAGTCTAAAACATTGACCCATTGGACTGTTTCAAAGCAAGCTGAAGAGCGGAAAGTCTTTGTATAGGTTGAATAGTGTGATGTACATTTAAAAAAGGCCTGGCTACAGCAGTGGCAATTCAAACAATATAGTAAGATCATATAAAGATGGCATTTCCATTTTACACATTGGTTTATTTAGAATGTAGTGATTCTTAAAGGTAGACTGTGTAATTATGTCTTCCATAAATTAATGCATTCTCATAAATTTAGAATAAATCAGTTAAAAATGCACACAGCAGCAAATCACAACAACAGTTGGCTCTATTATAAGGTAAAGCCCCTACAAAACGGAGAAAACCCCAACAATCAGACGACCCCCTTTGAGGAAGTGCTTTGGCGACAGGGGGAAGGAAAAACTCCCTTTTAACAGGAAGAAACCTCAGATCTGTAATAGCAGATCGCTGAAGTCGGAGGTTGAATGTGGGCTGGGAAAGTTTACACAACTACTGATATTCTGTCAATAAGCTGATATTATGAGCTGAGGAGCGTAAGATTGATTTCTCTCTGTTAAGAAAACTTTTGGCAATCACGAGAATTGGAAGAGAAAGGTAATCTGCTAGTGGGTCCTCTTGAGGCCTCAGTGCTTCCTGCGCGATATGGTTATGAGTCAGAGAAAACTGCACGGTACTTTCTCATAATTATTTAAACACTTAAAGGCAGATTTCATTCTAAAAAGAGACACTCCCCTGAAAGCTTCCTGTAACTTCACCGAGTGTCATCTTCTCCATATTAATAATTTAATGTTGATTAAGCCAGTTTTGCAGTAACGACACAGCGTTTAGAGCGCAATGAAGAATCCGTCACCAAATATTTTGACACAAGATGTTCAGTTTGGTGCTTTTGCTCGAGAGGGGTCAGTGTTGGTTTCAAACCCAACATCAGGATCTTTATTTTTTATTTATTTATTTTTTGCCCACAGCTTTTCGTTTGAATGCCTCTAAAAATGTGAAACCTTAAATTCCAGTGATATTTTACTGAGAATTAAGCGACGACTTTACAACCACCTTCGACCACAGCGCTCCTTTTTCGTAGTCAGTCTCATCTTTTGCCATTGAAACCTTTTTCTGATTTGGGGCAGCGATGCCATCCTTTATATGTGCGAGAGGAAAGCAGCAGGTGAAAGCTTTCAGGATAGTATCCTCTACCCACCCGTTCATGAAAGGGCGGAGACTTCCCAGAACACAGCAGTACAACAAAATACAAATGACTACAGATGGCAATAACAATCCTGTTTTAGCTAAAGTGGTCCTGACTGAAAAGATCTCTGAGGTCACATAAGACTTTATAGAAGCAAGTCACTCACAGGCCAAAGTAGTGCGTGCCAAGATGAGTGAATTTCTCTTCGGATAAAATATGTTGCACCTTTTTCATCCTCACTGTTTTTTAAATCCAAAGTTCCCAGACTGACTAGTTGCCAGCCTTGTTTCCTCACCTCATATCGATTTAGGGTGGAAAACAAATTGGACTACGTGCAGTTAAAAGGTTGGCTCTAGCACCCACCGTCCCACAGCGGCCGCTTGTAAAAGTACCTCTAAACAGCTCCTCGTAAATCACTTAATAACCACTGGAGAAATGACGACCAGGCCTGCCTTAAGAAGGCGTCCCTGTACAGTGCACTTTTGTTACAGAGAGATCAGAGGTGGAAAATGTTACTCATCTATGCTAAAGCGAGACGATCGTGTGAATATTGAATTCTCTTACCCATACTTAATGTCCCTATGTAGGAATGTTTTTGTTTTTTTAACACAGTGGTCTTAGATGGGGAATATTGCTTTCACATGTTTCAGCTGCTTAGAGGCAGAATGAATCATTGAAGAGATTAAGCCTGTGAAAGCCCTTTGAGGATTAAGTCCTTTCCTGATATAGCGTTCCTCCCCACACCAGCAAAGATGCAGTAAAATGAACTGGGTCACATAATGCGTCTATATGGTTTCCTCAACTATTTTACACTTGGGAAATTTATCAGATGGGGACACAAAAAAGTAGATTCTTAATTGCTCTATGCCATCACGCTGCTATTTGGATCTTGTTCATTACACAAGCAGTTGTGTAATCAGGCGTCTCGCAGGTTTTCGGGCATGCAAGCAGTTTGTCGGTACGAGCGGGAGAGAGTTGACTGCACAAAGGTGGCTCGAGCAAACTACAGTAACAAAGTGGAATCTCAGAGGACGTAAAAACTGAATCAATGTTACATCAAGGCCGTATTGCGCGCGCAGGCAAAAACGATAAATGCTGACATTGGTTTATGTAACTCAGTAATTCACATGGATATTAATCATCCTTATGTATAGTTGGATCTATTGGTATTTAAACAATGGTACTTTTTTTT